GAAATCTTTATAATAACCATAACTGATTAGGAAATTAATAAATGAAGGAGAAAAGATTCTATTCACAAAAGCAACAAAAATATCAAACACATTTCATTGAACCTAAGGGGAGAAAACATGCAAGATCTTTAAGAAGAATGCAGTAGACTCCCTGAAGGACAAGAAAATTACCATTTTTTTTGTTTTTGTTTTTTATTAACATATAATGTATTATTAGCCCCAGGGGTACAGGTCTGTGAATCGCCAGGTTTACAGGTTTACACACTTCACAGCACTCACCATAGCACATACCCTCCCCAATGTCCATAACCCAACCACCCTCTCCCTACCCCCCTACCCCCGGCAACCCTCAGTTTGTTTTGTGAGATTAAGAGTCTCTTATGGTTTGTCTCCCTCCTGGTCCCATCTTATTTCATTTATTCTTTTCCTACCCTCCAAACCCCCAATGTTGCTTCTCGACTTCCTCATATCAGGGAGATCATATGATAGTTGTCTTTCTCTGATTGACTTATTTCGCTAAGCATAATACCCTCTAGTTCCATCCACGTCATCGCAAATGGCAAGATTTCATTTCTTTTAATGACTGCATGGTATTCCATTGTATACATATACCACATCTTCTTTATCCATTCATCTGTTGATGGAAATCTAGGCTCTTTCCATAGTTTGGCTATTGTAGACATTGCTGCTATAAACATTCAGGTGCATGTGCCCCTTCGGATCACTACCTAAAGGTTTGTACCTTTAGGGTAAATACCTAGTAGTGCAATTGCTGGGTCATAGGGTAGCTTTATTTTCAACTTTTTGAGGAACCTCCATGATGTCTTCCAGAGTGGTTGCACCGGCTTGCATTCCCACCAGTAGTGTAGGAGGGTTCCCCTTTCTCCGCATCCTCGCTAGCATCTGTCATTTCCTGACTTGTTAATTTTAGTCATTCTGACTGGTGTGAGGTCGTATCTCATTGTGGTTTTGATTTGTATTTCCCTGATGCCAAGTGATGTGGAGCACTTTTTCATGTGTCTGTTGGCCATCTGGATGTCTTCTTTGCAGAAATGTCTGTTCATGTCCTCTCCTCTGCTCATTTCTTGATTGGATTATTTGTTCTTTGGGTGTTGAGTTTGATAAGTTCTTTATAGATTTTGGATACTAGCCCTTTATCTGATATGTCATTTGCAAATATCTTCTCCCATTCTGTCAGTTGTCTTTTGGTTTTGTTAACTGTTTCCTTTGCTGTGCAAAAGCTTTTGATCTTGATGAAGTCGCAATAGTTCATTTTTGCCCTTGCTTCCCTTGCCTTTGGCGATGTTCCTAGGAAGAAGTTGCTGCGGCTGAGGTTGAAGAGGTTGCTGCCTGTGTTCCCTCAAGGATTTTGATGGATTTCTGTCTCACATTGAGGTCCTTCATCCATTTTGAGTCTATTTCTGTGTGTGGTGTAAGGAAATGGTCCAGTTTCATTTCTGCATATGGCTGTCCAATTTTCCTGACACCATTTGTTGAAGAGACTGTATTCCATTGGACATTCTTTCCTACTTTGTCGAAGATTAGTTGACCATAGAGTTGAGGGTCTATTTCTGGGCTCTCTGTTCTGTTCCATTGATCTATGTGTCCGTTTTTGTGCCAGTACCATACTGTCTTGATGATGACAGCTTTGTAATAGAGCTTGAAGTCTGAAATTGTGATGCCACCAACTTTGGCTTTCTTTTTCAATATTCCTCTGGCTATTCGAGGTCTTTTCTGGTTCCATACAAATTTTAGGATTATTTGTTCCATTTCTTTGAAAAAAAATGGATGGGATTTTGATAGGGATTGCATTAAATGTGTAGATTGCTTTAGGCAGCATAGACATTTCCACAATATTTGTTCTTCCAATCCATGAGCATGGAACATTTTTCCATTTCTTTGTGTCTTCCTCAATTTCTTTCATGAGTACTTTATAGTTTTCTGAGTACAGATTCTTTGTCTCTTGGTTAGGTTTATTCCTAGGTATCTTATGGTTTTGGGTGCAATTGTAAATGGGATTGACTCCTTAATTTCTCTTTCTTCTGTCTTGTGTTGGTGTAAAGAAATGCAACTGATTTCTGTGCCTTGATTTTATATCCTGACACTTTACTGAATTCCTGTACAAGTTCTAGCAGATTTGGAGTGGTGTCTTTTGGGTTTTCCACATATAGTATCATATCATCTGCAAAGAGTGATAGTTTGATTTCTTCTTTGCCGATTTGGATGCCTTTAATTTCTTTTTGTTGTCTGATTGCTGAGGCTACAACTTCTAGTACTATGTTGAATAGCAGTGGTGATAATGGACATCCCTGCCATGTTGCTGACCTTAGTGGACAAGCTCTCAGTCGGGGCGACTTCTTATCCCCACCTGACAACTCTTGTCCATTTCAGCTCCACGAGACCCGGGGTTTTGAAATCAGCATCTGAATCAGTCATGCAGCTTGTCCCAGGATGTCAGCATTCAGAGAAATCAACAGGTATGTTGGGTGCAATGTCACATCCATGTCAGGACGGGAGGTAAAACTTCTCTTTAACCACAAACCTCCTGAGCGTTTCTCTTGTCTCTAGTGGAGCCACAAAGTCAGACAATGCAGCTGTCAGCAATCTTGAGTGGGTGCCCGAGTTCCTTAGTTTCCCTGCAGGGAGCGCATGGCAGGGGATCCCATTTTCTCCGCTTCATTCCTGGCTTACAAAGGTACTTGGAACATCTCTTTCCTAGGCAATCACTTTGATTAGAAAGGGAAGACAAGATTTACTCTGTGTGTGTTTTTAATATATAATGTGTTCTTTCATCTAACAGTGTTTATTCCATTGGGCCGAGGCTGTGGTGGCATGGCCAGCATCTAGAGTTAGGTGGCTGTTTGTGGTCAGATAGAGACTTGGATGATGTCCTATCATTTGTCAGAGGTGATGTTTCCTAACTGATTAGTCTTTTCATCCAAAGAGGTACAATGAGGGCAGAGGGGAAATTCAAAATGATTCTAAGGAGCCTTTTATGATTTAAAAGTTAAGCTTAACTTTCTAATTTCACTAAATGGATCATCTAGATATTTGGACATGCTGTATTTTCTCTGTAGTTTCATTGGTGGTGAAGTCAGAAGGAGGGTGTTTGGGAATTTTCCTGAATAGAAACATGCTGGTGGCTTCAAATGGGTTGCCGTCAGGAACCCTGGGATGAATTTCTGGAACTGCTTGCCTGTCGCTGCTTGAGTCAGGTTATCCCACAGGTTTTTCCACTCCCTCCTTAGGAAATCGCTGGCAGGTAATGTTGTGCATAAAGCGGAACCCTCCTGCACTGTTGGTGGGCGTGCGGGCTGCTGCAGCCACTCTGGAACCGAGTGTGGTTGTTCCTCCAAAAGCTAAGAATCGGGGCACCTGGGTGGCTCAGTGCATTAAAGCCTCTGCCTTCGGCTCAGGTCATGATCCCAGGGTCCTGGGATCGAGCCCCACATCGGGCTCTGCTCGGCAGGGAGCCTGCCTCCCCTTCCTCTCTGTGCCTGCCTCTCTGCCTACTTGTGATTTCTGTCTGCAAATAAATAAATAAAATCTTAAAAAAAAAAAAAAAAAAAAAGCTAAGATTCGAACAACCCTAGGATCCAGCAATCGCACTCCTAGGTATTTACCCAAGGACACAAAAATGCACCTTGAGTGGGGTCCCAGCACCATGGTGTTTATAGCAGCATGAACAATAGTGAAACTGTGGAAGGAGTCCCAGTGTCCGTTCACTGGTGAATGGAGAAAGAAGATGTGGGAGACAGATACACAACGGAACAGGACCCAGCTTCCCAAAGAATGAAACCTTACCATCCGCAAGGATGCGGATGGACCTAGAGTGGGTTAAACTAAGCAAAATCTGTAAGGAAAGACAAAAACCTACTGACTTCCCTCCTCTGGAGTTTCAGAAAGAACACAGATGACCATAGTGGGGGGAGGACGACAGGCACATGAGGAGGCAGACTCAACCTGAGAGCACAAACCGAGGGTTGCTGGAGGGCAGGGGCGTGGGGGGAAGGGGTAACTTGGTGGCGGCTGCGGGGAGGGCACTTGCGAAGGGCCCTGGCTGTTGTCTGCTGGTGGGGAATCACGAAATCCTCCTCCTGAAGCGAAGAAATGAACACTGAGTGGAAACGAACTGGAATTGAAGTCGATGAAGGAAAAAAACCATGCTGTGCTTCATGAAGAGCGAGGTAAAAATGGAGCGTTTTCCGCTTTGCTGTTCTGTAGATGATAGTTTTCAAACACTCCGGGGTGTTTGCACTGATTGCACTAGGAGTCCTCGGAGAGCTGCTGTGAAAGGTTCAGATCTCAGAGCACGTTCACACTCCATTGATGTGCCGCTCGCAGTTTGCTCAGGGAGGAAGGTGAGTGCAGAGAAATACGACAAAAGAGGAAAGGAGGCAGCCTTCTGCTTCTAATGAAAGCCTTGGGCCAGTGTAATTTTGGAAGGGGTGGATCCTGGAGCTTTGCGGCAGACAGGGGAGCTCCAGGTCTGGGAAGAGCTGTCAGGGGTCCCGGAGGAGAGCAGAGCGCATTCTGCAGGAGGCTGTGGGCAGGGCTGGCTCCAGGGGTGGCTGTGTGTCCCCCAGGTGACAGTTGTGACAGGTCAGGGTGGTGAGAAGGTTCCTGGCTGAGGACAGGTGAGGCCCAGGTGGAGAGCTGGCAGAGCACCTTCTTCTGAGCCACCAGTCTCACCCAACATGCACAACCTCGTCGTCTGTCCCTGTCACTCCAGTTCAGACCTCTCCTCGTTGCCAGGCCGAGACGCTGGTTTGTCCTTTGTTCTTTGCATGTGGGTGACGTTTCAAAAGTTAGATGGTGGGAATGACGGGTCGTCAGAACATCTGCTCTTTTATTTCCTGCCCTTTTTCAATCACTGAAGTGAATCAGACCTGCTAGTGGAAGAGGCAGTCTATGTGGTTTCTTTTTCATGTTTTTTTTTAAAGATTTTATTTATTTATTTTATAGACAGAGATCACAAGCAGGCAGAGAGGCTGGCAGAGAGAGAGGGGTAAGCGGGCTCCATGAAGAGCAGAGAGCCTGATGCGGGGCTTGATCCCAGGGCCCCTGGGCCACGACCTGAGTCGAAAACAGAGGCTTTAACCCACTGAGCCATCCAGGTGCCCCTCTTTTTCCTGTTTTAATTAAATAATGGGAAAACAGTCTTCTGAAATAGTTAAAGAATCCGTTGTGGGTGTTCATGTTTTTCTCTTCCGTGAAGCACTTTCTGATACTAGAAATTATTTTTTAGGAGTGCCTGGGTGGCTCAGTCGTTAAGCCTCTGCCTTTGGCTCCGGTCATAATCCCAGGGTCCTGGGATCAAGTCATGCATTGGGCTCCCTGCTTAGGCTTCCTGCTCAGCGGGAAGCCTGCTTCTCCCTCTCCCACTTACCCTGCTTGTGTTCCCTCTCTTGCTGTGTCTTTCTCTGTCAAATAAATAAATAAAATCTTTAAAAAAAAATCTCCAGATTTTTTTCTTGGGGTTGACTTCTAGTTTATAGTGCTACGGTCAGAAAAGATGCATGGTATGACTTTGAGCTTCTTGAATTTGTTGAGGCTTGTTTTCTAGCCTAAGATGTGATCTATTCTGGAGAATGTTCCGTATGCTCTTGAAAACCATCTGCTGTTTTAGGATGGAGTGTTCTGAATATATCTGTTAAATCCATCTGGTTCAGTGTGTCATTCAAAGCCATTGTTTCCTTGTTGATTTTCTGTTACAGTTAACATCTTAAACTTATAATAGTCTAGCTTGAATTAATACTAACTTTGCCTCAGTAGTATACAAAAATTCTCTTCCTTTATAGCTCGGCCCCCCTCTTTTTATTATTGTCACAAATTATGTTTTTATACCTGTGTGCCATCAACATAGATTTATAATTATTGCTTCATACAGTTGTCTTTTAATTCATATAGGAATTAAGACAATTATAGACCAAAAATATATGAACACTGACTTTTTTAAAAAAATATTTTATGTATTTATTTGATAGAGAGAAAGCATGAGAGGGGAGAGGGTCAGAGGGAGAAGCAGACTCCCTGCTGAACAGGGAGCCTGATGCGGGACTCGATCCTGGGACTCCAGAATCATGACCTGAGCTGAAGAGAGTTGCTTAATCAACTGAGCCACCCAGGCACCTGAATACTGATTTTCATATTTATTTATATAATTATCTTAACTGGTGTTCTTTATTTCTTCATGTGGATTGAGTTATTGTCTAGTGACATTTTAATTTCTGTCTGAAGGATTCTCTCCTGATAATTTTTTGTTGAAAACCAGAACTCCTGACATTATAATGTGGCAACTCTGGAGATCATATTTGCCCCCTTCCCCTGGATTTACTTTGGCTGCTTGTTATAGTTATTGATGTCCATTTATGACTTTTCTGAACGAATTTTGCAAAGTCTAAACCCTTTATCATATATGGCCATGGAAGTCTCTGTTCTATTGGTTTGTGGGGAACTAGTGATCAATAGAAATTTTCTTTACCTGGAACCAAAAACAATCCCCTAGTTTTTGAAGATGGTGTGTGTGTGTGTGTGTGTGTGTGTGTGTGTTTTGGCACACTTTCAGTACTTAAGCATTTTGCAACTATGCCTTAACTTTCATTTCCTGGTTGGACAGAGCCTGAAGGTAAATCAGAGGTGAATCTTTGGGCCTTTTCTAGAAACAACTCATAACAATACAAATAAAAATAACACAATCTTGGAATCAAGTGCCCCACGTTCTTCCCACTGAGTCAGCCAGTTGCCCCAAAAAGTCACTTCTTTCTAAGATAATCTATAAATTCTAGGCAATCTCAATCAGAATACTAGCATCAGTTTTTAATAATAGAATTGACTAGCTCATTCTAATTCTCAGTTGGAAGACAAAAGGGTCCTGAAGAGCCAGAAAAATTTTGGAAGATAATTATGTAATGGAAGGACTTGCCTTATCAGATCCCATAAAGCTTCAGCATGGTATTGGGACAGTAACACAAACATAAAAGAGAGATGGAAAGAATGGTTGTTCTGTAAATGGTGTGTGGACAGCTGTTTATCCATCGGGAGTGGGGGGAATGGTTACATCTCTACCTCACACCATGCTCCCTTCCTCAGCACATATACTAAAATTGGGATGATACAGAGAAGATTAGTGTGGCCATTGCACAAGGATGACATGGAAATTCATCTGTATCTCACACCGTACCCTGAAAATCAACTGCAAAGGAAATGTAAAAATCAGAAACTCTTTACAGAATTAGAAGAAAATAAAGAAGTGTGTGTTTTTAAATTTGAAGGATAAGAATACTTTTGCATGTAAGAAACAAAATTCAGTATCCATAAAGAGAACGATAAATGTAATTTAGTGAAAATTGAATATTTTAAAAGTCCAATGATGCCATCCCTTCCAGCCAAGATGTGTACATTGAAATTGAAAGCTCTGCAACCAATTCTAATTCAGGCCAAGGGAGCAGAGACTGGGGACTAATGTCTCCTCAAAAATCCCCTAGGGGAGAGCTGCTCCTGGTACAGAGAGGGAAATCTGATTAGGCAAATGTATGGTGTAAAATAAAAATACTGCCTTAGTTGATGCATCTCCCACCCTTTCCACCTGCCACCCCTCCCCAAGCTTCTACCATGCTTCAGTTCTGCCCTCTCCCCAAGTGTCTCAATTTAAAACCTCAAGGAAAAGACAGTGATTCTCTCATCACAGCCTGGGGAACTTGAGTCGGCAAAGGTGTGCTGGAGCCCCTCCCCCACTCTTCCCCCACCACCGACCCCGCCACGCCGCCACGGGTACCCTGCATCTGCTCCCCCTTCCAAAATCCCAACTGCCCTCTCGGTAGCCGGCAAGATAGCCTGTCTAGCAGGGACAAGAGCCAGAACGAGGCAAATGCGTGGGGTAGTCAGGAGCAGACGAGTGAGATTAACGCAGTCATTTAGGAAACAGCCCTGAGATTAGAGAAAACTCGGCTACCGGAGACGGCGAATTGAGCCCTCATAAGGATATGAGAGCCCTTTAGAGAAAGAAAAACTGGGAGAAAGGATCTAATCAAGACCTAGAAGGCCCTTAGTTCCCATAGCAACGCCTCAGCGTCCCTTGGTATGCAGGATTCCTTCCCAGGGGCCTGGAAAAAAAAAAAAAAAAAAAAAAAACACCAAAAAAAAAAAAAAAAAGAAACCGCAAGAGAGCCATGGATCCCTTCAAAATAGAAATTTTAAAATGTTCCCTCCAAAGGCAGTTCCAGATACCACATAAAGAGAAGTTTGCTGAAATTAAAGCCGTTGGTTGCCTATAGAAGAAGCGCTGCGCCCAGAACTGAGGTAAACTGTAGAACATTGAAATGGCTGCAAACCCTGGGACTTCACTGACAAATTGTATGAATCAAATGCAAAGCCCTGCTGCCTGCCCCCTCTGTACTCTGACTGCTGGTTAGAAACATGCAACTTGCCCCTGGGTTTCGTTTTGTAAAGAAGGGGTCATTGCACCATAAGCATCTGTTTGATTTTATTCATTAATGTCTTCACTGTCCATTTCCTTTATTATATTTGATTTATTGGCCCATTGATAATGAGACCTGTGCGCAAAGTCAGGTCTCGGAGTTCAGGGGTCATAACACGTGGAAGAGGACAGGGGGTCTCCGGCGCTGAGTGCAAATCTCCTAGAAGATTCAGCCAACAGCCTGAAAGATTGCGAAGTCAGGGGGCGCCTGGGTGGCTCAGTCGGTTGGGTGCCTTGGCTCGGGTTGTGATCCTGGGGTTCCTGGGATAGAGCCCCACGTCAGACTCCCTGCTCAGCTGGGGAGCCTGTTTCTCCCTCTTCCTCTGCCCCTCTCCTGCTAATTCCCCCTCTTCTCTTTCTCTTTTTCTCCCTCAAAAAAATAAAAAACGGAAGAAGAAGAAGAAGAAGAAGAAGATAAAGATGAAGAAAAAGAAAAAGATGATGAAGAAGATGAAGATTGAAAGTCCGGGTGAGGCGTCCAGAGCAAGTGTTCCTGCCAGGAATCCCGCAAGAAACCTGTTACTCTTTGTAGGCGTGTCAGCCACAAACGCTTTTTATTGGTCAACGAGAAGTGAGCCCGCCTCCTTTGCACATCCATTGGCTAAGAGTTCTGTCTATATTTGAGATAACTGCATTCTTCCTTTCTTTCCCTGTGTTGCTTTCAAACGGAGTCCGGAGGACTGTCTCCAAGTGAAGGCACAGGCATACACGAGGCCGGAAGAAGCTGGACAGGCAGGTGGCGTTGAACGTGGTTCCAGAGCTTTACATTGTGCTGGCAAGAGATGGTGGGACGTGGGACGCTGGGGGCCCGCCCCACGCGAAGTCCTCTGGGTCAGTCCTGCGTGCCTGGGAATTCGGCAGTCGTGATGGTGAGGGTCGCAACTCCGGCTCTAAACCCAAGCGTAAACCTGCAGCTCTTTGTGCTTTCCAACCGGACTTGGTGGGCACCTGCGCAGAGACTGATCGCAGGGTTTCCCACCTCCGACTGGCAAGGTCTTGATATTAAAAGGAAAAGAGAGCATTTTCCAGCCCACCCTGGTAAAATGCCCTTTTATTTTCTGGCAGGTGTTTGTTTTTGTGTGTGTTTAAGATTTTATTTATTTGACAGCACTAGCAGGGAGGGGGCAGAGGGAAAACCAGACTCCCCACTGAGCGGGGAGAACAATGCAGGCAGGGCTGGATCCCAGGACCCTGAGATCAGGACTTTAGCAGAAGGCGGATGCTTAACCGACTGAGCCACCCAGGCGCCCCTTGGCGTCTGTTTTTTGCAGGACGCCCTTTGTGAAGCCTTGGCGGATGGATTCAAGTTTATTAAATGAATAAATTCCTGGTTAAGAGTGCATTGAGGGGCAACTGGGTGGCTCAGTGGGTTAAGCCTCTGCCTTCAGCTCAAGTCATGATCTCAGGGTCCTGGGATTGAGCCCTGCATCGATCTCTGCTCAGCGGGGAGCCTGCTCCACCACCCCCGCTCACCTGCCTCTCTGCCTGCTTGTGATCTCTGTCAAATAAATAAATAAAATCTTTAAAAA